GTGTGTATTCCACCAGTGAGTCACTGTAAGGTGTGTAGTGTATTCCACCAGTGAGTCACTGTAAGGTGTGTAGTGTATTCCACCAGTGAGTCACTGTAAGGTGTGTTGTGTATTTCACCAGTGAGTCACTGTAAGGTGTGTGTGTATTCCACCAGTGAGTCACTGTAAGGTGTGTTGTGTATTTCACCAGTGAGTCACTGTAAGGTGTGTAGTGTATTCCACCAGTGAGTCACTGTAAGGTGTGTTGTGTATTTCACCAGTGAGTCACTGCAAGGTGTGTAGTGTATTCCTCTAGTGGGTCACTGTAAGGTGTGTGTTCCACCAGTGGATCACTGAGATATGTAGAACTGTTATTCTGCTCAGCTCCATCAGTAGTTCATTGTGGGAAGAATGAATTAAACATAAATTTATATATATAATCCTTGGTAAAGTTCTGTGTAAGCTGGTAATAACATGGGAAGTGTTGGTGGTCTTTTATTTGCCTTCGTAAGGCTTAACTTGGCGCGCTTTTATAAGACTTATTTCAATTTGCATTTAATCTTGTTTCGGCTCAAAAAAAGTGTTTAAAAACTTATCTTTATTTTTTCTCCATTTTACTCAGAGCGCAATTTTCTTCCTTTTTTTACACATAAAACATTCCCTAATGATCAAGTCAGGAAAACTACAGTGATCATACTTTGTGACGCAAAACATTCCCTAATGACCGAGTCAAAAAATGCCAGTGATTATACTATGTGATAGCATTTAGAGAGCTGACTTAACTAGCGGAAGTTTTTTTTTTTAACAGATCGTAATCCAGATGGGAGAAGAAGTGGGTGGTATGGTAAGTGTTCGAACTGGAACAGGCGCCAAAAGCCTTTCGTGTCCACTGAAGTACGTGCAGGAAGTCTGAGCTATGTTGGTATCGCTACCATCATGTGATTGGCGGGCAGCACTCCAAATCCACCGACCTCTAGCCTCTACTCCAAGTGACTTCAAATGTCAATCGGAAAAACCCTTGATCTTAGGAGTTCAAGGGATGACCACTTTATCCTCCTGACACCCACCCTCTAACTGTCTTTATGCACCCGAAGCAACCAAAGTTATGGTTTCAATGATGAGGCCATCAGTGACTAACTTAACAAAAAAAAGTGTTATTATTGCTACCACTTTACGTTCACGCCTTCTTTTCTTTTGTTTCAAAGATCTGCGTTTTTAGCTCGTTTTTTTCTTTCCGGAAACATTTTCTCGAATATAATTCTTAAATTTTCTTCTGTTTATACGACCTACATTTTCTCGTTAAAAACAGTTTTAATAATGTTAATGCAAGCAAAAACGCTATATCTTCAAGATAACTTAAACAGCAGTACATCTTCATCAAGATTATTTAAACAGCAGTATATCTTCATCAAGATTTTTTAAACAGAAGCAGTATATCTTCATCAATATTATTTAAACAGAAGCAGTATATCTTCATCAAGATTACTTAAACAGAAGCAGTATATCTTCATCAAGGTAACTTAAACAGCAGTATATCTTCATCAAGATAACTTAAACAGCAGTACATCTTCATCAAGATTACTTAAACAGAAGTATATCTCTATCAAGATAACTTAAACAGCAGTATATCTTCATCAAGATAACTTAAACAGCAGTATATCTTCATCAAGATGACGTAAACAGAAGTATATCTTCATCAAGATAACGTAAACAGAAGTATATCTCTATCAAGATTACTTAAACAGAAGTATATCTCTATTAATAAAACTTTAACAGTGGTATATCTCCATCAAGATAACTTAAATAGCAGTATATCTTTTGTATCAAGATAACTTAAACAGCAGTAAATCTTTATCAAGATTACTTAAACAGCAATATATCTTTTGTATCAAGATAACTTAAACAGCAGTACATCTTCATCAAGATTACTTAAAAGCAGTACATCTTCATCAAGATTATTTAAACAGAAGCAGTATATCTTCATCAAGATAACTTAAACAGCTGTATATATTCATCAAGATTACTTAAACAGCAGTATATCTTCATCAAGGTTACTTAAACAGAAGCAGTACATCTTCATCAAGAATAATTAAACAGCAGTATATCTTCATCAATATTACTTAAATAGAAGCAGTACATCTTCATCAATATTACTTAAAAGCAGTATATCTTCATCAAGATAACTTAAACAGCTGTATATCTTCATCAAGATTACTTAAACAGCAGTATATCTTCATCAAGGTTACTTAAACAGAAGCAGTATATCTTCATCAAGATAACTTAAACAGCTGTATATATTCATCAAGATTACTTAAACAGCAGTATATCTTCATCAAGGTTACTTAAACAGAAGCAGTACATCTTCATCAAGAATAATTAAACAGCAGTATATCTTCATCAATATTACTTAAATAGAAGCAGTACATCTTCATCAATATTACTTAAAAGAAGCAGTACATCTTCATCAAGGTAACTTAAACAGCAGTATATTTTCATCAAGATTACTTAAACAGCAGCATATTTTCATCAAGATTACTTAAACAGAAGCAGTACATCTTCATCAAGATTATTTAAACAGAATCAGTATATCTTCATCAAGATAACTTAAACAGCAGTATATCTTCATCAAGATAACTTAAACAGCAGTAGATCTTCATCAAGATTACTTAAACAGCAGTATATCTTCATCAAGATTATTTAAACAGAAACAGTATATCTTCATCAAGATAACTTAAACAGCAGTATATCTTCATCAAGATAACTTAAACAGCAGTAGATCTTCATCAAGATTACTTAAACAGCAGTATATCTTCATCAAGATTATTTAAACAGAAGCAGTATATCTTCATCAAGATTATTTAAACAGAAGCAGTATATCTTCATCAATATTACTTAAACAGCGGTATATCTTTTGTATCACGAGTACTTAAACAGAAGCAGTACATCCTTATGTAAACTAATTGAACGGAAACATATTTGTTTAGATTAATTGAACGGAAACAGTACATCTTTTAACTACAATAACTGAACGGAAACAATACATCTTTAGCCAGAATAACTGTACTGAAACAGTACATATTTAACTATAATAATTGAACAGAAACAGTACATCCTTAACCAGAATAACTGAACTGAAACAATACAGCTTTAACCAGAATAATTGAAGGGAAATAGTACATCTTTAACTATAACTAAACGGAATCAGTACTTGTATAACCAGAATAACTGAACTGAAACAATACAGCTTTAACCAGAATAATTGAAGGGAAATAGTACATCTTTAACTATAATAACTAAACGGAATCAGTACTTGTATAACCAGAATAACTGAACTGAAACAATACATCTTTAACCAGAATAACTGAACGGAAAGTGTACATATTGTCTGTTTTTCTCGTCAGTGAAAGATATAGCTGTTAAACACAAACCAGTGTAATATATTTATGGTGTAATTGTGTCTTATAAAATTAATCAAAATGAATAAAAAGTTAATGTGGCTACTTAGAAATAGACTTGGAACTCTTAACATTGTATAACTAGTATCCAACGTATAACTGTTAATTTTGAAGATAATTTTCATGATGCTGATATTGTTTGGGTTGGACGTTTCCTTGTCAGGTGAAATGTATATATCAGGAGATATCTTTAAATATCTGAACTAGAGAGGGTTCCATTAGAACCCCTAAGTTCACCAGTGTGAATTACTGTCATCTTTGAATGTCAGTCAACAAGTTCCGTATTTTATCTTTGTTAATATCTTCCTGTCTAGTATTTAATGGAAATTTTCTCAAGCACTGTCCGCTGGCGTTGTACAGGTGTCAAATTAATCTTTTAATATTTCTAACCAGGAAAAATGTTAAGCTTCCTTCCCTCTTCTTGTTCCACTGTGTTGATATGCTAACAGTAGGAGATACTTTCAGATAAAGCCTGTTTAGCACTTAATTATCAGCTGTTTACTTGCTGTACCTCAGATCGCTAAAACTTTCATTATACGAACGCGTATTTGGGTATTTTCGTGATCATTTTACCCTTTGGGTGAGTGTTAAGCTGCAGAGTTTATAACACTAAAATTCGGGGTTCGATCCTCTCGACAAATAGACTAAAACCTCGACACCTACACATTTTAGGTGATTAGTGTATTTTGTTTAGATCTTTCTTAAGATTAATCCAGCTATTGACCTAATGGTTAGGACATTCGACTCGCAGTCTGTTGCTCACAGGTTCGAATTCCGTCACCGAACATGCTCACTTTTTAGGCCATGGGTTTATAATGTGACAGCCAATTCCACTATTAATTGGTAAAGAATAGCCCAAAAGTTGGCGGTGGGTATTAACTAACTGCCTTCCCTCTATTCTATCACTTCAAAATTAAAGATAGATAGCAGAGATTTGCGCGAAATTTAACAAACAAATCCAGTTATTAACGTCAACAAATTAATATTTTAAAATACTTTTAACCGACATGTTGTAGAATGACACCGATTTCTAAACTATAAACGAAGTGTTTTTAAATGTCAGTTAAAATTAAACTCTCTCTCTCTATACTATATCATTTGTAAGATCTTTCAGATACACTGAATCGCCGAGAAAGCAATCGGGAGAAAAGACTGAGCCAAAGTCAGTTCCAATTCTGTATTTATACCACTGTGGTTTTCCCATCTTATACAAATAGTCAACATACACAATAAAACTACTTTACAAACTCACACAAAGGGACCTTGAACAAATAGTCAACAAACACACTAAAACTACTGGACAAACTCACACAAGGGTGGGATCTTGAACAAATAGTCAACATACACAATAGAACTACCTTACAAACTCACACAAGGGTGGGATCTTGAACAAACAGTCAACATATACAGCAAAACTACTGGAAAAACTCACACAAGGGTGGGATCTTAAACAAACGGTCAACATATACAGCAAAACTACTGAACAAACTCACACAAGAGTGGGATCTTGAACAAACGGTCAACATATACAGCAAAACTACTGAACAAACTCACACAAGAGTGGGATCTTGAACAAACGGTCAACATATACAGCAAAACTACTGCACAAACTGACACAAGGGTGGGATCTTGAACAAACAGTCAACATATACAGCAAAACTACTGGACAAACTCACACAAGGGTGGGATCTTAAACAAACGGTCAACATATACACTAAAACCACTGGACAAACTCACACAAGGGTGGGATCTTGAACAAACAGTCAACATATACAGCAAAACTACTGGACAAACTCACACAAGGGTGGGATCTTGAATAAACAATCAACACACACACAGTAAAACTACTGTATAAATTCACAAAAGGCCAGGACCTTGAACAAGTAGTCAATATACACAGTAAAACAACTGTACAGACTCATTTAAGGCTAGGAACTTGGAGAAACCTTTCAGCTAAACACTACCCATTCTACTGTCTTACTTCTTGTGGTCCTGTTGCAGTTCAACTGAAATATATATTTATCCAGTGGAACAAAAGTCTCTTATCACGTGTATGAGGTGCATGTTTGTATCAAGTGTCCCATCGTTATGTATGTATCTTATGACTGATGTCATGCTAATGGTGTTAAGTCTATTTACATTCTTTTAAGTATATTAAAGATAAAATCAGATTCAGTGACACATTTTATAGATGTTACATGCTCAGAGTTATGTTTCATGAAATTTTAAGTGTGTTAAGTGCAGGGTCAGGTTCATGGATATATATTAAGTTTTGAATACCAAGTAATATTCGGTGAAACATTTTAAAGGTTTTTAATAGTAAGTCATGTTTGGTGAAATTTGGCTTTTAAAGATATAAAGTGCAGAATAACATTGTTATAATGTTTCCTCCTTTGAACAAAGAGCCAAGGTTTTATTTTCTAACAATCACCAGTTTCTGTTAAGCATCACGTGTCTGTTTATTGTAAGAAATCAAATCAAATTAAAATGTTGATGCTGAAGAATCTTCCTAATTTTACTTTTCCTTTTCACTTGTTTACAATATAGAAATGTTTGTTCCTCAAGAAGAGGATGGATATTAGAAGACTGCTTTATTAGAAAGTGTGTGTGTTTTCTTATAGCAAAGCCACCAAGGGGAATCGAACCCCTGATTCTAGCATTGTAAATCCGAAGACTTACCACCACTTCCTACCGAGGGATGTTTTTAGAAAGAGCTGCTTAACCCTAAACAATATACCTGTAGAAAACTCTACTTGGGATGTTGTGTTTTGTATACATTTGAATTGGAAAACCAAATATTAAACCACTAACTTCTGACTTAGGTCATTTCATCATTAACAAACTTGTTATTTTGTTTAAAACTTATATCATGCACATTAGTCTGTACTCAACCCGAAATATTTCAAAATTCAGGTTGTTCACAATCAAAAATAATTAAAGCCACTCACTGATTTGTGCAATATTTTACTTGATTACTGAAAGTGGTACCCTACCTTATGCCAGTATTATCCAATGGGAACAGAACGGATACAAACATGTTAAATAAAACAAGAGCAGCTCATAGATTTAATCAAACTACCCTTTATTCACATGGCATCTATACATTAAAAGGCTTGCTCTACTCAGATAGAGAGCTGTTGTTGATACAGAAACTTGCTGATAGAAAAATATTGAAGTCTGAGTGTGAAATTGGTAAAGTCTCAAAACATGAAACGTGATCAAGTATAAAAACTGAAACACACTCAAGTAAAAAAAATGCATAACTCTATTGCTTCAGTTCCTCTATAATGAAGACTGTCATGCATCAGTAGCTATGCCTAATCTAGATAAAACTAAATTACTTCAAACAAACTATTTACAAATATTACAATTCTTCTAACAGAGTATCCTATAAACACTGTTTTGGTGTAAAGAACGAAAATACTCGGAAGAAAGCAGTGCTACAAGCATTTTTTTTATCGACTTACAGTTCTTTATCAAAACAATCCAATTTTTAAAATATTCACTTAGAGTTAAATAAGCCAATAACTATGATTTTTATTCTTTCAAAAGATTCCCACAATTCACCTTATATGGGGACACTTACATCTTGCTGTGAAGTAGTAACATCACAGTGATGACTTTGGGATAAACTGAATACACGAGGCTAATGGAATGATTCAGATACGAAGTTCAAGTAACGCTAGCCTACTGACATACGTAAATCAAGTTGATTTCATTTACATTTCTTGGACTACTTTGAGGCTTGTTTCAACTTTTTTTCAAACAGAAATGTTATAACATAAGAAAAAGAGTTAAGAGTTCGCAACTGTGCAGTTGGTGGTTATTTCAACCTTCTTTACATTTCATAATTAAACTCAATAAGAAACCATGTATTTTCAACATGATTGATATAAACAAACCGATTGTTCATAAATCCAGACATTTCAAAATCTGTACATAAATTTAAAGAACTAAATAATGCATGTTAATAATTAATAAACACATGGTGCCAATAATAAAAATCTATGTAAACAAGAGATGGAGCTACAGCAAAATATATGGAAAACACAGTTGTATTGCTGCCAAAAAATTAAACAAAAAGATAAAAGAAAACTTAAGTTTATAAGAATAATTATATATGAAACACAGTTTCTTTTTATTTACTGTGTAATCTCTTAAGTCAAACAATTCGTCTCTGAACTTTAAACTGGTTGAATAAAAGCAATTTCAGTTGTTTCAAGATTGAATATGTAACTATAATCCTCAGCTGTTTCAAGATTGAATATGTAACTATACTCCTCAGCTGTTTCAAGATTGAATATGTAACTATAATCCTCAGCTGTTTCAAGATTGAATATGTAACTATAATCATCAGCTATTTCACGATATAATACGTAACAATTATCCTTAGTTGTTTCAAGATAGAATAAAACTACAACTGGCATTTAGTCAGTTTCTTTAGGATAATATTAGCAAACATTTATACAGATTACAGAAATGCATGTTGTGACCAATTTCACATCTAAAATACAGAGCTAGAAAATGGTGCCTTGTCACTGATGAATGTAGGTAGTTGAGAAACACTACTGGAGACACTAACGTAAAGTTTACCAGGAAACAACAAAGTCGATTTCTGTGACTATAAAAGATATCTGTATCTAGGACGTTTGTTTTCGAACAACTACATAACATAGTTCTTGTTCATGGAGACTGTAATCCTGCATCCTTCCTTGGGGTCTCGTTTTCTTCATACACGTGCTTCATCATTATTTACTTATCTCCTGCTAAAAAATGAACTAGGACACAAACACATACACAAACAAATGAAACACACTCGATTCAGAGGTGAAAAAAGGAGGAAGGACTAGTTCAAGGGAGTTGTGGTCAATATAACCACAAGATTTTGGTCTTTTGACCCAGAGATCCTTGACTAGGTGCATGAGGCTGGGTACTTAAAGCCACACCAGGAATGTATTTTATTGGACAGTTCAACTTGCTGGGTGGGCTATAAATTGATATTAAAACTTTTCTGCTGTCAGAAAGGCGATAATGATAATGGTTTTTTTTTAATTGTTTAAAAAATTTGATAATGTGTAAAGAAACAGTTTAATTTGAATAAATAATGTTTTCTGCCTACTACAGTTGGTGATCATCATTCTGTCTCTTTTGGAGATAATAACTTAGCTGGTGTACTTAATAGTTGACCAACAAGCAGAGTCTACTGCCCATTCAGCTGGCCTAGGTCTTAAGGCACTGCTTTTTTTTTTTTGAATGACCACGTGTCGTGTTGGAATGCTTTCCTTGTCTCACCTACCATTGGTTGTCGTACCTTGATTGTCCCCAATAGGGTTAGGATAAGGGCAGTGTAAACTATAGGATACTGATCCACCAGTCTGAGTAAAGACATGACTAGCACAGGTAAAGGCTGGTAATGTGGTTCCCTCAACACCTAGTCCTACAGTCTGGTTAGAGGGGTGAAGGGCCAGGGGAGAAACATTCCGAGAATCTACCAATAGCTGTAGTCGGTCATCACCAAGGTTCTCCCAGATACCCTTCTGCAAGAAAAAAAATTAAGCAAAAAATTTAAACTGAAAAGTTTCAAAGTATCAACAATAAAAAATGGACTTACAATATAAGACTATATAAAATAAAAAACTTCCATACAAACTTGTACCACAGAAAATCTGTACATGAAACAAACTAATATAAAAATATATATTCTAAAATCTTTAGTATTTCCAAATTACGGTTTTTTTGTCACTTAATTTAAAATACAAAAATTTTCAATAAATAAATCAAGTTTTATATCTCACATTCAATAACTTCTAACCACACAGTTTCTGGCTCAAAAGAAAACTGCTGTGCTAGGTATAGGCTAACCTGCAGGTCAAGCTCTGACAGAGATGGGTCAAGACTCTCCAGTGGAGGTAAATCTGCTGTCTTTGTTGCTGTAGAAACCTCAGAACTATTAGTGATTTCTGCTGATTGATCAGGAGGGCTAGAAGTAAGAGTGGCTTCATCTGGAATCTCTCCTGGATACAGGTCTTTCATTTGCCCTTTCTCAAGAAGCTCTAGCCTCTCTAATGCGGTAGAGTAAAACAAACCAATAAATATAATCCATGTCTTGGGTAGAGTAAAACAAACCAATAAATATAATCCATGTCTTGGGTAGAGTAAAACAAACCAATAAATATAATCCATGTCTTGGGTAGAGTAAAACAAACCAATAAATATAATCCATGTCTTGGGTAGAGTAA